TTCACCAATAGATAATGGAATAAGCATAATTTCAAATTATTAAGTGAAACGAATTACAAACAAAAATTAAAAAAATAAATTTAAGAAAATAATAAAATATAGAAATTTAAGAATTAGAAATAATTTTAAATTGAAAAAAACTAAATTAATAAAAAATATAAATATTACATAATTAAAATTAGAAAATTAAATTTTATCATAAAAAGAAAAGAAAATGAAAAAAGGGCTTTTAGGTCGACTGATTAAAACAGTTGGAAAAAATAAACAATTAAGAAATTTCAAAACTATTTTCAAAAAGTTATAATAAAAAAATAAATAAAAATAAATAAATTATGAAAATTAAATAAATATTATGAATATTATTTAATTATTAAAATTGAAAAAACAAATTGACAAAAAATATAATTAAATTTAAAAAAAATTAAAATTTATCATAAAAATAAAAGAATTAAAAAAATTTAAATTGAAAAGAAAATTAAAAAAAAAAAGGTTTTTGGACCGACTACCGACTGTGAATAGTCATCCAAAGCAGGCGACTGTGAATAAAAGTAGTTGACTGTTTCTCACCGAAAATGGCAAGAAATGGCCATTTCTGGCGAGTTAAGGTTCACAAACTCAAATATATGTACATAAATCTCTACTACACTCAATGATCCACCTAAATAATGAAGAATAAATATTATACATAACAATAAATGAAAAATCAATCTCATAATTCCAAAAAAAAAATAATAATAATAACTTTGTTGAAGATAATGGTCAGTGTATGGTGGTTGGCGTTGGGTTTGACTGTGAGAGTTCTTATTCGACTAGATCCTAACTGTGGATTATGTGAATAATTTTCAATTCCTTTTTCTTTCTCTCTCAAGCGTGACTGTTGGTTGGTAAGGAGGGTATTTTTGGTTTTTGGTATTTCATTTACAATTTATACATTTTAAGTTTTTTTTAGTGGTCAAAGGCTAGTATGAACATATGGGCGGATCAATGAGCCAATACCTTGTATTTCCTCATTTTTATGATTAGCTGATTTTTTTGTACTATAATTTGAAAAAGAAGAAATTACACCACCCACCCCTACTTTTCTACTTCTGATTTCAACAATTAGGTACAAAAAATTTTCTTTAAAAAATCAGGTCGCTCGATTTCCACGCCCAAACCTTAATTTATCTTCACCCCAAGCTACAGAAACTGAGCTTCACAGGTCCCCGTACCCCACACCCATTGGCGATGGCGATCACACATTGCACATCAACGCTCATTGTTGAGCATCGTTGCTTCCTGTGATCTGCTGAAATGGGGGCTACTACCTGCGATCTACTCGATAAGGGTCGCTTTCTGTAATCTACGGTGCATGGTGCATGGTGATTTCGCAACTAATGGAGGTATGTGGGCTATATGTTGGAGTAAGTGGTAATGGCGAAGCTGAATCTATGGTTTTTGCATGTATGTGTGGTTGGTTGGAGGTGAAGGTGAAGGTAGTGGTGGTGGTGGTGGTGGTGCGGAGGATTTGAGGATGAGGTCGTGGTGGTTTTTGGTGTAGGTGGTGGTTGGTATGGTGGTGCGTTGGTGGCAGTGGTAGGTTGTGAATCTATGGCGGTGACGACAACGTTTTAGGTGGAGGTGGAGGCGGAGGCGAGGTGTGGTGAGGTGAGGTGAGATAGAGGAGATGAAGGGTCATTTGTGACTAATTGATTGGATAACTGTGATCAATTAATTTGATAATTTGTGATCAACAATAAGTTGTGATCAATTAATTTTGATAATTTGTGATTTAAAAACAAATTGTGATCAAAACAAATTGTGATCAATTAATTTCATAAATTGTGATCGATAAATCGTGATCAATTAATTTAATAATCTGTGATCCAAAAAATTTGTGATTTGTGACTATAACGTTTTGTGATTATGACTAGTATGTAACTGTGATAATAAATTTTATGTTATTGTGAGTTTAGCCTATTTACATACCAAATTAATTAACAAAAACTATTTGATTACCTATTTGATTAATATCACCTGATTTTTGAAAGAATTTCACAAAAAATTGTCAAATTTGAAAACGTAAATTAAAGGTTAATAGTTATATATTTTTCTCACACAATACAAATATCGATTATGCTATGTGCGGTTTATTGCAAGTATAAAATTTGTATGAAAATAAAATATTTTCTACTTAATTCAATTGTTTAAAAATTATTTATATGGAAATTGTTAATTGCATGTGTTTGATTGATTTAATTTTCAGTTTCGAAAATATTATAAAGAGAGAAGGATATAAAGTGAATTATCTGGAAAATAAAATTCTACTCACTTTAAAGAAAATATTTTCCTTGTTTTTTAGGAAAATATGGTCACGATACCAAAAGTAAGAAAATATTTTTCATAGAAAAATAGCAATCAAACAATACAAAAGTAGGAATTTGAATGGAAAAAACAAATTTTCCATGAAAAATATTGACAATCAAATGCACCATAAATGTACATCACCACGTACAAATTTATTTACCAACAAATGATGTGACAATCTTTGAGTGGGTCAAAATCTCATCAGCCAAAAATAAAAAAAAACTAGCTACTTTTTTTTGACACCTTATCAATTTATAAAAGATTATGTAAATGATGATTTACAACAAGCATTTTTCTAAAAATATTAATTACATTTTGCACCTCTCTGTATGTTATCTTTTTATCTTTTATTAATTTCTTATAATATAATAAGCAAAGACGAACTCAGTATCACTTTACCTCTGTTTGAGCCACATTAAAATTTAATTCATGTAGTGAGTACATGAATTCACTTAATTTCATGTATCTAATTATTTTAGCCCCCTGTTTGATGGTCATTGTTGTATAAAAATGATGTTTTGAATAATGATTTTTTGGAGAATGCGTGGTTAAAAATTAATATGAAATAATTTTTTTTTGTTTTAAAATACGCTAGTGAACACTAAAACTAAAATTCTCAAATACATGAACACATAATTAGTTTGGTATATATTTCAACAAATATTAATGGTAGTCTCTTGGCTTAAAAGTTTTAATTTGTGTTTAGGGAAGGGTATTATTGAAATTTTCTAAAATGCCTCTGAAAATTGATCAAAAAATGATTTCAACTCATATGATACTTATGTCATCTTTGGTACAGATTAAAATCAGATTTTAATATAAATCAAAGTTAAACAATCAATATTAACCACATTTTTCATGGGTCCCGCAACTTTTTAACCATACATTTTTAAAAACTTCTATCACAATTTATTAAAAATCTAATTTTAATCCCCATCAAACACCCACTTAGATATATGAATTTTACAATTAAAAAGAAATGTAAGTTTTTTTTAAAAAAAGTTCTTACCATTTGATTGTTATATTTTTACCTATTTTTGTACTTAACTTGTACTCCTCGTCGTTAGACTTCCGTCATAAATTAACATAGTTATCTATATATTAAATATCAAATCAAGTGAAAATCATTTTTTGGATGATTATAACTCTACTACAATTCAATTATTTCAATAATACCATACTTTTCATTTTTCAATATGTATTTAATCTGCAAACCTTTAATAAATACTACAAAATCATTGTTCATGCACTATTAATTCTTAATTAATTAACATCAACATTCATTTAATTAATATTAATTAGAATTTTACATTCAAGAATGCAGTTCATTATTTAAGTCCATGTATGTTAATTAGCATCCAATTTCACATAATTGGAAATTAAATTATATTCATTTAGTATAAATGATTTAAAATTAATTGTCTCACACACACACGTGTGCGCGCGCACACACACGCGCGCGCGATAGAGATGGAAATTTTCCTCGCCCCGCCCCGTCCCCTTGGGGCCCCGCCCCGAATGGGGCAAAAAAACCCGCCCCGAACGGGTTGGCGGGGCTTGGCGGGGCGGGGCGAGGCGGGGCATCTGAACAGAATTAAAAAAAAAAAAATTGTTTTGGACATTTTTTTGTTTCAAGTGCTTGCTTTGAATAGTTACTTTGAACATTATTTGCTTTAGATTTTAAGATTTTGGATTTGTATTTTAAATAAAAAAAAAAAATTTGGGGCAGGAAACGGGGCAAGTCCTCGCCCCGTACCCGCCCCGAACCCCGCCCCGTCTAAGGTGGGGTGGGGCGCGGGGAGGGAGATTGGCGTGGTGGGGCAGGGTGGGGTGAGGGTGCCCCGCCCCATTGCCATCACTACGCGCATTCCTTGGTATTAACTTTAAATTAATTAACATTCAAGTTAATTCATGTATTGTATTTGCGATTCATCTTCATTTATGCATTCTAGTACTCACATTCAAATACACATTTCACTATTTATGCGCATGTTTAATAATTAATATTTATTTTTAGGGACTTGCATTTCTCTCATATTTAGATCAAAAGAGTAAATATGAGTCAAGTATTATTTCACAACACTTATAAAACATTTCAGAATAACGTACAAAGCACGTTGAACTTTGACTAGTGCCTTAAAATGATAGAATAACTTTTGCCTTAAATCAAATATATATAAAGAATAAAAAAGGAGAAAAAATAGAAGAAGATATAATATCTACGCTTGCACGCAAATTCATCAATAAGTCTAAATCATTGAATACATTAAAGCCCGTTTGAAAACCATTATCCAAAAAACTCTTTTTTCTTTATACTCGTGTTTTAACTTTTAACTACACATTCACACAACAAAATATTCTGCATGACTTTTAACCACACATTCTTTAAAAATTCACTATTCAAAATTTTGTTTTTGCCAAATAATGGCCAAACAGGACTTTTATCATATCGAAACATAACATAGAAGATATCAAGATTTCAAAATTACATACAAAGAAACGAGGATGTTTGCAATGATTTCACTACAAATACAGAGACAGCAAAATTCTAATGAAAGAAAGTACACATTTACAAATGTATGCATCTGTGTGTCGACCTAACATCTAGCAAGATTGGCACGCTGATATACAAGAGACACTTCACACAACTGTGGTTACTTACGATGCCCTGATGAAGCCATGAGGACGCCAACGGCCACGATAAACATTAACAACATGCTTATGAGAAATATGTATGTTCTTCTTGATGATCTCCGGTACTCCCCAAACAGAAGGATAGCCCAAAACGTGCTGACGAATGGAAGTGCCTGTGGTTACCACCAAAAGGTAAAATGAATTAGCAAACTCTATGCCAAACAATCTACCAATATGGTTCTTCAATGATTCATAAACGAATAGGGAAAGCTCAGCTACAGGTCTCAAGATCCAAATCCAAAGATAATGGAACTAACCTGAACTGCATCTGCTGCAGCATATCCTGCAGCTTGACCTCCCATAAATTGAAGACCATTTCCGAACCCACACAAAAATCCGGCCAAAAGGGCCCACCCTCTACCATTCCAGTCTGATACGTAGGCCTTGAATGACGATTTGGGCAAGTTCAGAACAGGGTTATACATGAAACTGATATTTAGAATAACGGCGATCACAAAACAGGATACTGAGAAGTAAAAAAATGCAGTATAGACATTTAAGTGGGGAACACCATCTTTCAGAATATGCCACTGATCATTAGTCGCCAAATTAAATGCTGGTGAGAAGAGAGAGAAGCAAAGTCCGGCACAAAAAGTTATCGCCAAGCCAATGAAAGTGCCCTTTCCAACAACCTGAATGTATGTACACATGCAGAATGCAAAACTTTATTAATTACAGGAAATTTTTTATATGCTTACTTATTGAGATTGAGTACGCCAACAGTTATATAGACGCATATCCTGTATAATCAATAATACCTACTCATAAATTTGATAATTAATCCAACTCAATGTGAACATGCTCTTCAAATACAATGATGACATAATTTTTCTCTTAAAAATGTGGGTTGATAATATCATTTATAGACTAATCTCTCCAAAATTCTATATAAACACTAGTGCATAGGCATAATGGGAACATAAGATTAGTAATAAAAGATGTTCACAGACCTTAATCGCCCTTTTTTTCTCAAGCTCCATGAGAAAATGTGCAGTCCCAAACTTAGCCTTCTCAATGGTACCAATTTCGTTTCCCGAATCTTCTGTTCAAATTATGGATGTTCAGTATCCCAAATGAATAGAGAACAAAAAATGATTGCTGGTCTACTACAATGGAATGTGAGAAGTTAAATTGTAACTGGAAAAATATGCTCTTACCCCTGTTTGCATATGTCATCTTGGAGACAGACTCATCCTCTATCCTGTTCGAGTTAGTTTGAAAATTCACATGAGCACACAAACTTTACAAATCTATAGAAGTCTGAAACATAGGCAGTAACCATTATTTTCACAGAACTTTTACTAATCAAGGTCGTGTCAAATTTTAAGATGAAAGCAGAGGGTCAACCAGGAGGTTTTGGAAAACTCTATTAGTAGTTCATGTTACAAGAAAGAAGATATTCCCATGAGGTCTCTGAAAAGGATTCTCGGCCAAGCCAAGTAATATATAAATCTATTCTAGCTCTGTTTTCGAACCATCCATACATTGTGTTTTGATCTAAGACTTTAATTCTTCCGTGTTTCACACTAAGGGGGGAGAGGACAAAATGCATAGAGCGCTTATATCGACTTCTTCAAAATATCATTACGTGCTATTCATCTCATCATTGACGATTATTTCAACCTATGCACATGAGCATCAATATTCTATTGATGGAGCTAATGCAAAATCACTATGCTATTCTTTCCAATTTAGTTCAAAAAAATTGGTGAGAAAGAAGACACGTGATAGCACATATGATTCTTCCTTCATTTCATCTCACTGTATTGGTTTTAATGAAAACTGATGTATGACATTGACATAAGAAACTTCATCCCAACTACCTCAGCTATTAACTCTATAGTCACTACTTGTTAATAAAATAATCATCCAAAACAAAGAATACATACGGCGTCCCATCTTTGTAATCATTTGAGAATCTAGAAAGCTTGGCTTCATTATCTGCAGCATTGGACGCATGCACAGCAGATCCAAGACAAACAGCAATCAAAAAGCATCCAACACCAGGAAAAAGAATCTCTGCTTTGTTAATTTTGTCATCTAAGAAGTAATTTAAGGTTGTTCCTGTACAAGCAGAGCCAGCTAACATTTATAACTTCTTCAAGTCATGGTACGAACATAAAAATTCAGTGGGTAAAGTATAATACCTATAACAACAGTTATGCTCGAAGAAATCACCTCGGTCACTGACAAACCCACAAATGCCCATGCATATTGAGTTGCCAGGTTTCCGAGGCTGAGGACAATCCCACCTGCCATTGCAAACAATACGCTAGGCCAGTTATCCTACATCAATTTGCAATAGATGCATAAGAAAATTTCAACTTGTGTACTATTGTGAATAGCTTAAGTAAGAAACAAAAATCGGGCTTTTCTTCAATGTGAATCCCTGAACAAAAAATACAGAAGAACTCAGAACAAGAAAGGTAACCTTAGATTGTGCACATCCATCCAACAAAAAATGGGACCTACATTATATATAATGTGGATAGTTTTCTATTGTTGTATCAATACGCCCCAGAAACGCACTAGTAATAGCATTTCTAGAAATAAAGTAAAATTGGCGGAATAAAAAACTAAGACCGTACAATCAAAAGTCCTCTTGATCAGTACATGTCAATGATTTTTATCCTCTATACTATAATCGCTCCTTAATATCCTACGGGAATATTTAAGGTTTCTTTTTTTTTTTTTTAAATATATATTTAAATAATATAAATTGGGCCCTGCCTAATAGCTTAAGTTTTTAGATCAAGTGATTCAACATGATATCAAAGTAGCAAAGGTCCTAGATTTGAGTCTTGTCGCCACTCATTTAAATAAAATTGTGCATGCATTAGGCTTTGGTGGGAAAAATAAAATGGGGAGTGTTGAAGACAATATTTAAAATTTAAATGATATAAATGTGATATAGTTACTGAGAAAAGTGGACAGTAACCCTTTTCAATGAATACATCCATAGAACCTATTGGAACTATGAATAAAATTTGTGCATTATTTTTGAAGTGATTTAATAAAATGTAAATTTATAGGAAAAAATATTAGAGTGAAACATGATAATACATGACAGAGTATATCACATTGTTGCCAATGTAATATATGACAGTATGACGGCATGAGTATATTATACAACATTGTTTGACATTCTACACAAGGCCTATCTTCATTTCAGATTGCCATTAAGTTTAGTGGTAATGCCTACACATCACTTACAGGTCAAGCATATTTTTGAATTTGCAATCTTTTTCTTGTAAACTTTCACCAAATTTTCATTGAGCTCAAATATTAGCAAAACCATGAATATGAGCAGTCTCACCTGAAATAGTTGATTTAAGAAATCTGGTTTTTCAGTTGCGCTCTTTCCGATTTCACCAAATGTGAAAGCAATAATAACAGCAGCCAACAGATTCGTGATCGTATAATCGAGGTAAATGTGTTGAGGAAGACGGCCCCGTCTTTCCAGTGAAGTCAAAATGGCAGGCCATGTTCCCAAGAAAAATAGAGAAAGAAGCATGCATGCTATTGCACCTCCTTTGCCGTCCACCAAATACATCTTCAAACCCCAAAACAAGTTCCTTTCAGATGGAAGCAATATCAATGAAAGAACTCCTAAAAGTCCTACAAAATGACAAGGGTAGCACTAGAAACACGAAGCCTGTGTTAGTTAGCTGCGCAGTATTAGACGGGAATGCAGGGAATGGATAGTATAACAAACAGGATTGTAGTTTCTTTATTAAGAAAAAGCAGCCCAAATTTATAAAATCACTGACATTTATCATCATTATGAAAAAATAACAATGCAAGATAAAAATCAGAAAACGTGAAGCAAGCATTAAAGAAAAGTCAAAATCTATCAAGAAAATCAACAATGAGAACTAAAATAGACTGTATATTGAAGTCAATACGACAATACTCATCAACACAAAAACATATCCAAATTCAAAATCTTGAAGACAATTATTCTCTTGCTATTTACTATTAGTGATTACCATAACGGGAAATGCTGGAACAATGTAAAATAATTTCACCAATCTCATTATTATTTCTGTCATGAAAAGGTAAGAAAGAAATAGAACAACTACCAATAGAAGATGATGTAAAATCACTATTTGTATAGAACCCACAAACGCATACACAAAGACTCTTCAAAGGAGAAAAAAATACCTCCAATTCGCCTGCAAATTCACTGTCTGCTTTCAGAAACTGGAAGTATAAAAAGGGACGAAATTGCAAAAAGCGAAATGAATAAAACACAAGGGATTTGGAATCGGTGTTGAAGCATGCAAAATGGGTAGTTTTGAGTGGAGCGTCATTACTGGGGCAGTTTTGCCCATGATTTATATACAGATAACCGTCAAATCCTGTATGCAATAATGAGACAATTATGAGACAATCATATATTCAATTGTGTGCTTTGCTGGAATAGTTTGTGTAATATTCTTAAATCTCATGGTTTACACCGAGCGATGCGCGGACATTAATCTAGGCCAGCCAAACCTTTTTAATGGAGTAATGACATTTTACACATGGTGTTACAACGTTAGGTGACACTAATTGTCACATTAAGTCTTATTAAATGAAAGATACAATTAGATGAGTAATATTACTTCACTTTTAATTGAACATATCGCATAGTGTCACATAAATTAGTGCTTTAACATTACCAATACTAGATAGCATAGCAGCTTTCAAAATTGAAGGTGGGGGCAAAAACACTCTTAGCGCCTTGACCCAAACTTGGGATATAAGATGCACGTCTCGTCCCATTGCTCATCCCGTTGCCATCCTTATTGGGATGATCTATGTTCTGTCTCAAGACGACATATTGGCTTATACCAAGTTTGAGTGACTTCTAATTTGTGTCGAAATGCTCACTAAATTGCATTTTATAGAATGACCGAATATATTGTGTGTAAATAACTTTTTAAATATGTCCTTGAACTTTAGCTTGGATGTGCAATGAATACTACGTTACTGAAGCGCATTGTACGGGCAAAGGTAATTTTTTGTTATATAACAAAATGCTTAAAGATAAAAAAGGACAAGAACAACAAAGAACTTTGTAAGACCGATACTAATAGATAAAAGCTAAGAGATCGAATACGATTAAAAGCATCCACCCAGGATTTCATTGGCTGGTTGAAAGAGAAAATAAAGCACGAAACGATTTGATCACTGGTTATGATATATGAGCTCTACGTCAATATTTGTTTTTTTTCTTTTACATCCACTCTTGCAATGTCATTTTCCTATTCTATATTGAACGGGACAGATATCAATTTTATATTTTAAATGCTTCTGATGAGCAGGAATTTTTTTTTTTTTTTTTTCATAGTCAATATTTTCATTTTCTCCTATTTTCCTTATCATACCAGTGACAACTTAAAAAATTACCAAACCGGGCTGCGAATTTTCTGCTAACTTGTCCTGGTTAAACAAGATGGGGCCTGGTTAAAGTGTATCTCGAACCATAACTGGGTCACCAGTTTGCTGGTTTAACTGGCTAGTCCAGTCCAGATATGATCAAACCATTTAAGTGGCAGGACAAGCTCGATGCATAGATTCGTATACTTGAAAGGAAAGTTCACTTCTCTTGATGCACTCTTATTCCTTTATAACACTCCTTACAAAAAAACAATTAGGAAGAAGATTAAAGGCACTACATTTAAGCAGTATTTGAATGCAGTACGATGTAAAAACAAACTTTTAATAACCAGGCATATAGGTATATGCTTCATGCACATTGAACTGTAACTTTCACTCTCATAAACTGCAATCATTCTTCTTTCCCGTTATTCACATTCACTCGGGCATATAGTTTTTGGACCAACACCAAATTTAAGAGCTATTCTCCGCGACGTTTTCTTTCCTGGCTACATTTTGCAAAAAATTTCCGAGTAGCCTCTGATCCAAAACCATATTAGGTACCTGCAGAATAATTTTTATCAACCTAGAGAAGTAACAACTCATTGATAGAGTGGAACTAACAAGAGTACAGAGAAGTAATCGAACCTTGTTACCAAAGAAAATCTTGGAATTGTTAGCAATTGCTTCGATGAATTTGAGTTCTAGATATTGTGGAGTTAGCTTCAACTTGTTTGCTTCTGCTTCTTTAATTGTTCTGAACATGATGAACATTAACATCCATAAATACCCGTTCATTTTTGTTAAAGCTTCCTTGTCCCAGAATGCATAAACAACTTCAACGGTATAAAGTAAAGGAATGTACCGATAAAAGTCAGCATCAGCCAAGCTTTTCTCCCGAGCTAAGTACATTGTATTAGAAATTTCCTCTTGCCTCCTCAAGCTGTCTTTCTCCATCAACTTCTGTTCCATCTGGATCTTGCTAACATGAGCATGCTTTTCAGCTTCACTTATGGCAATCTTTTTCTGCGTCTCAGCTTCCTTTTCAAAAACTCTCTGTCTCTCCATTGCAATCAAGACCTGTTATATTAAAGTGCTCAACTAGGTGAGGAGGTAATTTAAGTGCTTATAAACAGTGGTCTTACAGAATGTGTGAATAATAAATGGTAGTAAGGTTATGGGTCCTATGTAATGAGTGGATAAAAAATATGTTTGAACAGCTTAGATTATAATTTAAGCTTTGCTGTAATAGGTTGAACAGTTCCATCAAAAACAGGTTTCTCTATAAATGAGTAATCACAGACGGCAAAACATGTCATCTATAGAACTAATTTATGAGCAACAACTGTGTATATTAAGATAAATTGACAATCTCCTATAAAACTTAGTCCATTACACTTGTAGACCCTCAGTTAGTTATCCGCAACACCCCTTTAACTGATAGTTGCTGAAAGAGTAAAAATTGAAGAAACAAATTACATAACCTTAGATGGCTCAAGGTAAGTGACTAAGAAATACCTTGGTGCGTTCCTCTTCCATCTGTTCAAAATTCCGCCTTATACTCTCTGGAATGGTGGGTTTAGTGACACGCACACTAAGTATTTCAATACCTGGAGCATAACGTGTGCAGTCAGCCTGAAGTGCATCTTTCATTTTCTCATCAATCTGAAATTATTGCAATAATTATTTACCAGATCAAAGCATCAGTATAAATTAAAAGGCATTTGATGGTTGTGCAGGTGGAGAGTGACTCGGTCATAATTGAGCCAGCATTACTTTAGATGTTCCTTTGCTCACATTTTAAAGGCACCAAAAGTTGTCGATAAGAATAGTGGAAGAAGTAAACCATTTTATCCTTGAGATTTTATAATTGACCAAAGGAGGGGAGAGAAGCCTTAAAATAAGCAAGTGGATGAAATACATTGATGTACTAGAGTTCTATTTGATCTGCCTTCTTACCTGATCGAACATGTCAATGTAAACTTGCTGCAGGGAATGAGCACTGCAGAACTGATTGATCTCATGATGGATCTTGTCATATATCCACGTGTTGTCATATTGTACACCATAGTCGCGCAATGTCTCTTGTACATAGTCCTTGTGAAGACGATTAACAACCTGAAGGAATGCTAGTTAGTATAAACAAACTAATCAACAACACAATTACTTGGCAATCATCAAAAGAACAACATATGATAATAGCACTGAAAAATGTACTTCTATCTTCTCAAAGTTGATCATAACACCACCTTTTGTTCCACAGGGTATATCCCTCACCTGCACGGTATATATAACATGGCACAGAAACCAGGCGCTAATCAATACATTTTCAAATAGCATTGCAATGAAATAAATCATTAATCTAAAGAACTTCGAAATTAAAAAGGATAAACATTTGTCTCACCAAATCAGTCTGTAGGGTCACTTGAATGGGCTCGAAGTGGGTTATCAACGGCATTTTCAAATGAAAACCTTAATATTGAACAGGTGCTAATCAGCAACAAGAAACAACTGAAACCCATATACATATGCCTACACAAATATCCAGGATGTCGTAAACATGAGAAGTACAGTATATAAGGCACAGTAATAAACCTGGATCTGTAATTGTGTTCAGAAGGGCACCTCCTCTCCAATAAACTCCAACATGGCCTTCTGGAACTTGATGTAGGATAGCTAAGCTTTGCCTTAAGGTCGACACAGTAGGGATAATAACCTGCAAATGGTTCTTGGGCATGTCATATGTTTCTTGTCTAATCGCAATATTTTCAGTTCATAAACTATAAAGTGGGCATGATATTTTCAAGGAAATGACAAAACGTCCTAGAAAAGTTATTTAATTTACATTCCAAATTAGATACTTATTTTAGAAAACGTAATTAATGTTTTAATTAATAGATTTTTCAGTATTTTATTAGCTGTCTACTTTCCAAATTGGATACTCATTTTAGGAAACATAATTTGGATTTTATTTAAGCCTTGTTTGAGCCCCATTTTCCCAATACTCATTTTCCTTAAAACTCATTTTCAACCATACATTTTTTCAATAATATAATTTTACATGTAAACCAAAAACGTTTCCCCACTTTTTAACCACACATTCTCCAAAAAATTACTGTTCTAAAATCTATTAACCCAAAATAATGGGGCTCAAACAAGGGCTTAATGGGGTTTGTCTATTTCATAATTATTATATAAAAGGGGGTTTACGCATTTTAATATTTAGACTTTGATATTGAATAAACTGATATTTCCTCGCTCTAAATTTTCTCGTTTTTCTCATCTCTCTTCCTCTTTCTTTCTTAATCTCGTTCTTGTTCATTTGTGTTCTGCATTAATTGGTATCTAAAGTATAACAACTAATTTTTTTTTATTATCTCTTTTTTTTACTTTTCCCACTTTCAAAGACTTTTCCACGTCTCCACCACTCTCTTCCCTCTTTCCCTTTCTATCCTTTATTCCCTATGATGAACCATTAGGACACTTGTGTCCTACATGATACGTGTCAAACACGTCAACACGCGATTTTTAAAAAAAATACTGACACGATATATTGTCAATACATTGATTAAATTCTTTGAAATTCTTCATTTACATAGTTTAAATTCAATTTTGTTCTGTTTATTAATTTTTTTGTTGAAATCTGTTAAAATATGAGTATCTATTTGTTATTAATCAATAATTTTGAGTTAAAAATATATAATATTTTGACAAAAATTAAAAATGATCATGGTAAAGTGTTCGTATAACGGAGCTTATTTCTCTCACTCATATCTTTTACTTACCCCCACATAAACACATGTTTCTGTCTTCACTATTTTACTCTCTCTTACCTTTTGTCCCACTCTCTATCCCTTCTCTCATCCCTCTCAACCCATACATTTTCACACGTCCTTTTCCACTATCTCTCCTATTTATTATCCATACTCTCTCTCTCTCACATATGCATATTCTCCTCTCTCTCTCATTCAATAATACACGCTCATACGTCATTTTCTACTCTCTTATTATTGTTCATACACATTATCTCATATACTCTCCCCTCACTCTCTCTTTCAATCACATTCTCTCTTTCCATATTCACATATAACAACCAAAATTTAAGTATAGAAGGAAGCAAATAGAATTTCAACAATTTCCATTTTATGTCGCACTTAATTTTTGCAGTTTTTGATGTAGGATATGTATACATACAAGTTGGCTGCACTTTTACTGTATTATCTTACTTATGTACATCTTTATGTGAAATGCTAATTGACCTTCTGGTCCTCTATGAAATAAAATGCGAGATTCATTCGGGATTTTACTAGAGATTTATACAAAATTATGTTAACTAGAGCTATCACTTGATTACTTTATGCTCTTGATAAAATGATAGTATGAATTGCAAAGTTTTATGTTAGTAACATATTATCACAATTTGGTGCACGTGTCCTATCAGGTATTTTATATTAATTCCTATTTTATTACCAATTTTAGGTTAGTTCAAGTGAGTTTGGAAGAATGGTGAATTGGTGAAGTGATGTGCAAAGGGACTTTTCTTTAAAAAAATGACTTGTCTTAATTTTCTTTCAATTTCTTATCAAATTAACTAGACTTTATGAGCGTGTAATTAATGAATTTTAGATTATTTCCAGTAGCATGACTTTAAATTTTGAATGATATTTTAAGTTTAACTCGTTTCAAGTTTAATTTTAAGTATTGAATTTAATTTATTTCAACATTATCCAACCGTGTTATGAATAAAATAGACTACGCTAATGTTTGGCCTCCATTTTTACAAAAACTCATTTTTCTAAAACTTATTTCTAAACACACATTCTCCTATAAAATAATTTTACACATAAATCTGTAACTTTTCCTTATTTTTTAACTACACATTCTCCAAAAAATCATTATTTCAAAATATATTTTCCCATAAAATGGGGCTCAAAAAGGGACTATGTAACTCTTCAAATTTTAATTGAAATTTGGGCGTTACATGTATGGGATCAAAGCACGTCTACAATTTTATAGACTCTTTAAAAATATTCTTTTTTTTTTCTCTCTTCATATATGTTAAATATTAATTTTGAAGGATGATTTAATGATTAAAAGAAAAGTTAATTGGGTTAGTCAATTAATTTTAATTTTTTTGGCAAGGAGATTCAACTCTTGGAAAAAAAATTAAAAAAAAAAAATCTGCACGTAAATAGGTTTAATTAAAAAAAATTAGTCATTTTATTATGACGTTTTGAATGTGGGGGAAAAAGTGTTAAAAAGTACTAGTTTTGGAAAATAAGTATAGACTGATATTTTTTATTAAAAATAAAATGATTTTGAACTAAAAATTAAAAAAATTACTTAAAAGTAACTTGTATTTTAGCCAGACATGCTCTAGTTGACTGGATCTATGAATGAATGACAAATTGAAAGTGGAGGTGGTTATTCTAACTATCAGCGTTCTTGATCAGTACTCTGCATATAGTCTCTATTTTAAATGCCTTTTGCATTTTCTCCATTTCTGTTATAATTTCTCTAAGATGTTTTAAAAGAATATTTCATAGCCTGAGCTAACCAAATCTGTAAAATTTGTTAACTAATCTGTGAACTAATATGTAGAGGTTAATTTATTCTTTTCTTGCACGTGTCTCTACATAGAGCATTGAAAATTACTGCTTTACCTCGAGCTAATATGGTATTTTTCTCCCTTTTCTCAAACTTTTTGAAATTTCATGACTGGTCCCATAGCTATTCCAGTAAATTTTTCTTTCATATACAAAAAAATGATAATATATATTTATTTAATTGTTTATATAAATTGCAACAAGTATTAATATCATTTAAGTATACATTATGTGAGTTCATATGGAATCTAAACAATTTGCATGCATGCTATACACGTGTAAAGAAATAGAAAAAAATTTAAAGGCAATTAATTATCTTTAGTTAATTAAATTTATTGTATGTAATTTGCCTGCCTGCGGCATTAACTTAAAGTTTAACAAATAAACCTTAAATGCATTATGATACGAAGTCCTTAGCAAGCACTACTTACCAATGAACCATCATCCAACGGTACCAATGTATATAATGAAATGTTATGTTCCATCATTAATTTCAAGCATGATTTCGTTAATCATTTAAGCTTTAATTAATGAAACATTATATTTGTGCATATATGGTAAGCATGGTTTTAATTTATCCTTGCTTCGACCCTATGAAATGCTCCGAGCAAAATGTATTTTGCATACTATCACCGTATTTTCTATACACATTAAGGAATGAAACTCGACTTGATATTGAATCCACACGAGCAAAACATGTAATGCGATATCACTAATGAAGAGGTTAGGAATTTGCAAACAACTACGATGACCACGAACAACTTTAACCACCTAGATCCTGTTTTCTATCGAGAACTACATGAATTACGAAGTGAGATGAGACTGCAATTTTGTTCAGCAAGTGGATTGGAAGAATTCTTTAAGGTGGAAGGAATCAAGATCTTTCAAGCATAAGAAGAGACAGGTCTCTCTGAAGAGATGTAACGGAAACAAAAACTTTAACTAATAACTAAGGAATAATGGTTGTTCATGCTAGGTTTACTACCATACAGGAAATTGTGCCAACAGGAACTAAAGGATCTTAAACAAACTCTACAAGTCTGGGTCTTAACTCCCGAATCATCTAATTTATTCATACTGTTCCCAACCATCGCCACAAATTGAATAAAGTTACTCAAGTTCACCAGGAAGATCTTTCAAAAAAAACTGAATGATATGGTCAAGTGTTATGGAAGGGTTACTTGGGGCAAGAAAGGCAGAAGAAGTAAAGGAAGTAAGCCAGCAAAACTGGAAGGAAAGGCAGAAGAAGAAACCGAATTAACGAACATTTGAATTGAGACGACGTCGTTTGGGCGCTAATCAAAACGATGTCGTTTTGTTATGTTGATTTTAATTAAATTGTAATAATTAGAAAAGAACGTTTTTTCCCCTTTCCAGTTGAAATCACGCTTCTTGCTCAGCTGGGCATATATAAGCTTGCGTATACTTGGCAGAGGGGTGTGAAATTTGTTATGAAATTCAGTTAGTAGTGGGTTGTATTTACAATTCACTTTATTCCTCACCTCTTCTCTCTCTTTTTCGTCATTTTTTCTCCCCCTCACTTCTGTTATTTGTGCGTGTTGTTGCTGAATTTCAGCTGGTTTCAGCTGAAATTGGTTGCAGGAAACCGGATTTGAGTCCCAGTCGTGACAAATTGGTATCAGAGCAGGCGTATTATACTAGGTAATCGATAAAAAAATGGATACAAGGGCTAAGGCAACTGATGAACATTTGAAGAAGTTGGACCACGAAGTAGCTGATCTGGGTACAAGCTTCAAGGTGGTTACTGGCCGATTGGAAACTAAATTGGAATCCACAGATCAAACTCTTCGGGTGTTGAGTGGTAGGCAAGAGAAAATTGAAGATGCTGTGTTGGATTTGAATAAAAAATACGAGAAGGTTGTTGCATTCATGGCCCAAATCTCAACTGATTTGAGAGCCAACCAAATGATGGAGGAATCTATGGGTAATTTGAAGTTTGGGAGTGAATTCTACACACCAGGGGGCAGCAGTATGGAGGCTAGTGTTATCTCCAGAGGTGAATTGAAGGGGAACATTAGGCTACCTAAGATAGATTTCCCTCACTTTGGCGGGGAAGGACCTAAGGAGTGGCTGAGGAAAGCCAGAAAGT